CCGCCCGCAGGGGGACAGCTCAAGTGCGCCCGGGCTGTCCTGCTGTGGGTGTGCTCCAAGGCTTTGCTCCCCATCTTCCTGCAGACCAGGGAGACGCGGAGCAGCTTTTCTCGCCCCGGAGGACGGGGGCGGCGGACCGCGGCGCATCTGGGCGTCCCGCCGTTCACGTCCTCCGGGGCGAGAAAAGCCCCGTTCGTAACTGCGGATCCGACATAAGTCGGATCCGCGTAACTCGGGGACTGCCTGTATAAGCTATCTAGGCTTTTCTCTGCTCTCCTCTCACCCCCACTCAGACTCATCCCTTCCTCGTTTGAATGGGTCTTTTAGACAGCCAAAATGTCCCCTTTTGTTTAAATATATGTATACACTGCTCCTTTGCTTCATGTATTTGGGAACAGATTCTCCCTTCTAGGGGTCCCCAAAACCTTCCTCACCCAGGATAGAACTGACTCCGTCCAGAGACCCTTTGACAACACTTGGCATTTGTCCTGTTTGCTCTTATTAACTGATGATTGAAAAATGTCCAGTTTTGCCAAAAAAGTTCAGAACGTGCTTAAATAGAGGGCTGTCTAGCCAAACCAGGATGTATGGTCACCCTAGACCAGTGTTTCCAAATGAGCCACAAAAAAGCTGCTTACGGGCTGCTCCAGTTTGTTTACTTAACGGCTCTGCAGTCATGGAGCCTCACGACTCCCATTGGCTGAGGTTCACTGTCTGTAGACAAGGGGAGCCACAGGAATCAGTATCCCGGGCTATGTAGCCCCCACTCCCTCCTAAAGGGCGCCTGGGGCGTGTGTGTGGAAGGCTTGGGGCTGGGACAGTCCTGGACGGGGCGTGGGGGTACACCTCCAGCCAGTCTGTATGATTTTATGAGACGTAATCCCATTCCAGGGACATCGCATTTTCCTGGCACAGCCAAACCCTGACCTTGCTTTAAGTTATGATAAGAGGAAGCTGTATAACTGAATTTGGGGGTCTTAACCCTTACCATTTAGGAGGAGGTCATAGAATCACAGACTACTAGAACTGAAAGGGACCTCGAGAGGTCATCAAATCCAGTCCTCTGCCCTCACGGCAGGACCAAGCACCATCTAGCTCATCCCTGACAGATGTTTATCTAACTTGGTGTTAAATATCTCCAATGATGGAGATTGCACAACCTCACTAGGCAATTTATTCCAGTGCTTAACCACCCTGACAGTTAGGAAGTTCTCGAACAAATAGAGCAACAGACAGACAAACAAACTCTCTCAAATATATTGTAGAGATCAGGGCCAGTCAACTTTGGATGCCCCAGGGGCCACAATGATACTCACATTACAAGCGAAGGGCCACAACTTAAGTGTGCTTGCATATACATGCAAATATATATGCAAATATATGCAAATAGCTTCTTTCACATTGACGGTCATAAATATTAAGATTAAGGCAAGACTACACAACACACATACCCGGTTTAGTCAGTTCTGCTGATATTAATAAAATGCAATATTTACCCGATTTCCACCCATATGACATCACTGTTAATGAGCAATGACAGTGCAGGAATTTAACTAGTAAAATGCATATCAATAGAAGACCATTATATTGATTACTTTTTTGTTTTGGCTCCCATGTGCGGGCCTCAAACAAACGGGCCGCATGTGGCCCATGGGCCACGTGTTGAGTAGCCCTGTTGTAGATTGATGTACTTAAAGTAAAAAATTAATGGAAACAAATTACCCTTAGTTATAAAATAGGCCTTAAGGACATTCAAGGTAAATGGCACCAGTCCCTAGTAGCAGCTGTCTGAGGGGACACTGGCTAGTTATCTAAAGACCATGGCCCAATTCCAATACACTACTTCAATAATTGACCAACTACTATCGTTCTCCTACTTCCCAAAACTGTACAATAGATACCACAAGAGAAATAGATGCTTACTCTTACTTTTGTAGAAGACAGTTCACAGACGAGGCATGTCTTGATATTCGTGTAGAACTCTTGACATTTTAGTATTGAGTTAGTTTGCTTTTAAAGTAGCAGTAAGATATTGGAGAATGTGATATTGGAGAGAGAGGAAAGCCACCACTGCAGTGGGAGGGTGATGAACAGGAAGAAGACTGCTGCACCTCATAAACTTATCTGCCAAGAAAGTAACACTTACAGCCTTGATTGTCCCTGAAACAGCATGGACCAGCCAAAGAAGAGGGGCTGCAGGAAGAGCCTAATTAAAGATAGAAGGCCAGATAATAAGCCAGGCCCCAAAGAGCTGGCCCCAAAGAGCCCACCTAAGAGACAGGTCACCCCGTCTTTTACTCTTACCACCCTCTCTCACAATGAAGAAAGAAGGAAAAGGACCTTTCTTTTGTTTGTTTTGTGTGGAGAACCCCTCACATGCTACAAATAGGAAAAGCATGTTATAAAAAACTTGAATTAGGAACTGGTGTAGATCCAGGGAAGCCCCAATCCTGCTACCCCACAAGAAGTATCATAGAACATATGGCAATGGAAATTAGTATACATCCCAATGGAATAGGAATGATCTTAAGAAGCTTCCCCACTTAAAGGACCAAGCACTGAAGATAAATTTTTATTTTACATTGAAATCCTGGGTTAGATACAATGGTATAAAATAGACTATTCCTTTCATTGTACTTCATAGGGTTATAGTCCTACAAAATAGGGGTGTAAAATCCCATTTAGTCAGTTAATTGGTTAAACATTATGTTTAACTGGTTAACCACTTAAGTAGGAGTAGACGGGGGGTGTGGTGCGGTGGGCCTGGTTCCCACTCTGCCGCAGGCAAGGATTGCTTTGGCCAGGCCGAGCACACCCCACGTGGGGGCTGCTCTGTCCAGGCTGTAGTACACCCCCACCCACGGTGTGGCACAGTGGCCCC